CTAATGGGACATTTACTTCCCTTCCCTGCTCCCAGGAATTATTACGTGGCTAAAAAAAAAAAAAAAAAATAGCTGAGGTATAATCCATCCCATGCTACCTAGAACAGAATCATGCATTTTGTTTTGTTTCCTTCTTCTTATATCTACTGAAAATGGGCAAAAATATTGTGACATTCTCTTTTCACTAATAATTTTATGTATATAAAGAAGAACCCATTCTCTTAGATAGTGGAATCAATTCATAGGTGCATTAATTAATATGAAGTTTATTACTAAGTCAAGGAGCCAACAGGGTAACCCATTTTGTTTTAGGTATTTTTATCGTTTGATTTGAAAGGAAGACATTTGCATACATGGGTTTATGCTTTAATTCCAAAAACTACTGGAAGGAAATCCAGCAGGTACCATTACTTAGATTAATGAGATTATGTATATGTAACCATGTTTTCAATGTTCTTGTAAAGGCAAAAATGACATCACAAGGCTGAAAACTTTTAAAAAGAAAGAAAGAAAGAAAATAACCAGCTAACTAAATAAATAAATAGAAATCGGTTCCCTAAAATCAGGCAGGCAGTATCAGAGAAAAAGCAGACTACTTTGTTTGAGTCAATTGACTAAGAAATTTATTGAAATCATTGTTCGGGTGCTTTTGAGTACATGTAGTCAGAGAAGAGTCAGTGAAGAGAACATTCCATACACGTGAACGTGTAGAATTGGCAGATTCGCAGAACGTGTGTTCTGCACATACACACACCACTCCCCACCCCCCTGTGTGCTGGAGAGCAGACCCACACAGGGCCCCAGGAGCCCACTGAAAGCAGGCATTGAGGGTGGGTTCTTGGGGAGCAGATGGGTTTAATAAATCCCACTGTTCCCAATTCCTCTGCCCTTGGGATGCCAGGAGTCGAAATCATCACTCTAAATTTGCTCCATTCCTTTCCTGGCTAATGAGGCTATTTTACTTCCCACTCCTGACCAGCTCCGCATATCACCCCCTCCCAGTTCTCTTCCTTTAGGGCCTTCCCAACATGCTAGAAAAAATGAGTTTACTTATTTACTTCAATTGACAAAACAGTCACCTGATTAGGGGGTAGGGGTGTGGGAACAGAGGAACTGATCAAATCAGTTATTTGAAAAGGTCACCCAGTCTCTGGGATATATAGATATAGATCCAGACAGACAGTTCTGGAGGTTATAGCTTAGAAAAATACAGAATTTAATTTGGGGGGTTGATTTTTAAAATGTTCCTTAGAGGGAAGAAAAGAATTCCATTAGTAATTACCAGAGCAGTGCTTAAGGATATGTAAGGGAAGAAAAGCATGATTATCTGAGTGAGGAAAAATGCCAGTGTACAATAACAGAGAGAAGCACAGTAATGGGGAAGTGACGGGGAGAACAGAAGACCCAGGACGTCCCATTTGTAGAGGGAGCCTCTCAACTGGACAGTTCAGGTGAAGAGAGGTACACGAAACATGGCAAAGTCAGCCAGGTGTGGTGGCTCACACCTGTGATCCCAGCCGCTTGGGAGGCTGAAGTGGGAGGACCCCTGGAGCCCAGTAGTTCAAAGGTGCCGTGAGCTCTGATCACTCCACTGCACTCCAGCCTGGGCTACGCAGTGAGACCCCTTCTTAAAAAAAAAAATGAAAGTCAGTTGCTTTGAAAAAAAAGTTTCAGTCAATAAAAGTTTATATATAAAGTTCCCCACATTCCTAGTAAGTACAACATCGATATGTGACTTACGGAGTGAGTATGAGACCAGGCATAGTTCAAAGGTGTCACTGTGATGTCACAGGGAATCCAAACCCAGGTAGCGCAATGGGACTGCGCCCGGACATTCCAAGTTACCACGTCAATAGAGTCCATCACCTGTGCACACTAAGCCTCTGTTCCAATTTCCTCTATACCCGCCCCCCCCCCGAAATCAATTTTGCTTACTCAGCACTTGGCATTAAACTTTATTGGCCAGTAGTTGTCTAGTATAAATAATTATAATAAAATTATTATTATGATAGCACTACAATATATTAATATACTACATTTCACAAAACACTTTCAGGTCCATCATTTAATTCTGCTCTCCAGATAGTCAATCATTTGTTCATTCAACAAATACGCACTCAGTGATAACCACACAAACCAACGTTCTGGTGCTTGGGATACGTCGATGAATGTGTCATCGTCAATTGACAGGATCCCTCCCCTTGCGGGGTTTACATTCTACCATTAAAAGGCAAAAAATAAATAAATAAAAATAAACCTAATAAATGTGAGAACACTAGAATCCATTAGAAGTCGGCACACGCTGCATGAGAAAATAGAGCTTCCATTTAGCCAGGGAGGGGACTGGGAAGGTGGCTCCGGGGATCTGGGGGGGTGGGCTGTGTGCTGCCTACCGAGAGGTTGGGTTTGAGCAGACACAAAGGAGGAAAGGGAATGGCCAGGGGACATCAGGGCAAAGGGAATTTCAAGCAGAAGCCATAGGTGGGGGAAGGGCCCTCTGCTGGGAAGTGCCTGGTTGGGTGCAAAGCCACCCATGAGGCCAGGGCAGCTGTCGTAGATCTAACAGAGAAGTGAGAGAAGAAGGAGAGAACCAGAGAGAGGATCGAGGTTCAGACCTCTGGGGTCTCAGGGTTCACTGTGCAGATTCTGAGTTTAAGCTGAATGGGAGGTACCTGAGATGGTACCACTGTCCCGGGTGCTAAAGGGTCACCCAGTCGCTGTGTTGCGAATGGAAGTGGGAGGGCTGGAGCCGGCCAGGACCACTGTCAGGAAGTGAATGTCGTTTCCAGCGGGGGAGGGTGGAAGTTCAGACTGTGGTCCTGGCAGCCGCGTGGTCAGGGCTGGCCGAACCCTGGATACGTTCTGGAGGTGGGGCCAGCAGGGTTTGCTGACGGACTGAATGTGGGCTGTGAAATCCAGAAAGGAGTCAGCCCGATGTTTGGCCCGAGCAATGACTAGAATGCATTTGCCATCCACTGAGGTGGAGAGGCCTGTGATGTGGCTCTTCTTGTTAAGGGCGACTTGGGAGAAATTTAGGCTTAAGTTATAGGCACATAGAGTTTAAAATGTCTCTTCTGATATCAAGCAGACAGTCGGACACAAGACGCTAGCATTCAGGAGAAAGGATGGGAAGGTCAGCAAATAGTATGGATTCAGAGTATTTTGCAGGTAATGAAGCAGAATTCCAGAGGCAATAGTGGAAAGCTTTTAGGGATTGGAAAGGAAGGAGAAGGGGTCACAGTAGGAGACGCACAAAGCTTTATGAAGCTTAGAATGCGAGGGATGAAGGCAGACATCAGTTTGATGATCAACATAAAGCACAATAAAACGCAGAGCGAGATGACAAGATTGAAGGAAGATAGTGGGGAGCAGAATGTCGGGTTGCACAGTAGGGATGGGGTATCCCTGGGACCCTCTTCTCATCCCAAGAAGAAAGTAAAGGGCACCAGTAGGAGTCTCATTCCCACCCAGGCTTCCTTGTTGCAGGGAATGGCTGGACCCCCATGGAACGAGGGATCTCAAAACAGGGAATCAGACCCCCTGGACCCCCTTGCGGAAGGGGCACTACTGCTGAGCGGAAGCCCATTTCCCCACCCAGACATGCATCAGAGAGGCCTGGAGCACGCGTGGTCGGGAAAATACCAACATGAGGGTCGACAGGATGTGTTGTCGCCTCTGCTTGAAAGCGAGAGACAGAGACGCCAAGTGTTTACTTACGATCAGACAGTTGGAAAATCTTGAAAGAAAGCTACGTCAATAATACGGTTGGAAGGTAAGTAAAAGATGTCAGTCAAAAGTTAAAGAAGAGGATTAAAACATTGGTAGATTATTATCAGGATAATGTTAAGCAATTTGCCATTAATTTATATTTGGTTAGCATTGAAGCATTTAGCATTTAAGCATTTTAACATTTGTTTCGCAATTACTTACTAGAAACGACAGAGAATGCTGGTGGAAAAGTTAGCCTTCCATGGCTTTTAAGAACTTTTGCAGGAAAGATACAGAATATGCTTTAGAAATAAGTTAAATATTATTATAATTTCATCAACATCATCATCACATTTATATTGTATTTAAATAGAAAAGTTGAATTGAAACCAACAATATCAATTATGCCCTTAAATATTTACCATCACTCTGTATGGCCAGGGCCAGTGTCACTGTTCCACGTACAGGAACTGGGAAAAGTAGCTGAGACTGAGAGAGAGAGAGAGACGGGTGTTATGTGTTTGAGGTCTTATAACGAGTAACTATCTAGGTCAAAGGACTAGCTGGATCAAAATTCTGAGAAATCCCTACATTAAAAATAACGTAGCCAAAGATAAAGGAAAAAGACTAGAAATCCCTGGTATTAGATTCAGAGGAATAAATTTCATAATCCTCAAAAAGTCCTCCCAGAATAAAGAGAATTTAGAAAGTAACTGAGTACAGTCACAGCAAAGGTGAACGTAAAAAGGAATGGCTCCCAATATTTTAGTTTAGAAGGACATGACGGGTTAAATAACAAGAAGTAAAAATCACAACAAGAAAAAGAGAGACAAAGTGATAGAGACAGAGACAGAGGAGGGAGAAAACGGGAAAAGAAGCGAAATAAGGAAAAGGAGGAGAAACAGAATTGCGGGTCTGACGCTGGAATAATATCAGCCGGTCTGAACCAACGTCAGAACTGCCATTTCTGATTCTTAACACACGGAAGATCGGGAGTGAAAGGAATGAGAGATCGCAATGAAGGCATAGAAACCTGTGTGTCACACGAGCTCATCAATCTGAAGGAAGAGCCATCAAGAAAGCATGTGGAGTCATCTGCAAATAGAGTCAGACGAGATCGGCCCCTTTCTGAAACTTGACACTCCGGGGTCCCTCCCCACGCAAATGCTCCACAGCTTCTCTCTGTGTGCGGGGGAAACCGCCATAGAGCAGGGAATGAAGTGCTCGCCCACATGCGGACATCTGCTGGGGCCTGGCGTATTTATGGCGCTCCCTCCACTCCAGGAACCTCTGCCAGGCTAGGCCTGTGCCTCGGGAACAGAATTTTAGGAATGATCATCTCCAACATGAGAAGCGGCGTCAAGATGACTCGACAATGCCCAATTTTCTGACTCTGCTTCTGTCATAGGTGGCAAGATAAGAGGATGCGTGTCACAGATGAAAAAATAAGGCCGGAGAAAACCAGAAAAGAGTGGGTTGAATGTGTAGATGTAAGAGCCACTCGTGACATTGTAAAATGAGATTTCACCGGCTTCATAGTCCAAGAAAATCCCAACGCGGCGAGGTGGTTCCAGCCGGAGAGCAGGCACGGAGCGGGAGGCGAGGACGAGGTATTCACGGCCCTTCAGCAGCCACAGGGCCCAGACCCCGTTCTCAGGAGACGGCGTGGTTCCCCCCTTCCTCGGCAGCGTGTCTTGACAGACGCCTAAACCCCACTCCGCTCCTTCTCCCACAATCACCTCCCAGTAATGCCTCCCTGATGAGAAGCTCTGCAAGCCCAGGATACAGGGCCACGTGTCAAATCGCTCAGGGTTGTGGGGGACATCCCTCCACAGTTCCCCTTCCTGCACGCTGCGCAGGTCGGCGGTCAAGAGCAGGATGGGATGCGCCGTGGCAGGGTCCAGCTTTACATCGACTGTGGAAAGAATTGTATGGAACACGTGAGAGGATGGAAAGGATCGGTGAATCTTAGGGAGCCAGTGAGGAGAACAGTCACACAGGTGCTCGGGCTTCTCTCTCTGATAGCTCCCAGAGAGACAGATCTGTATTTCACCCCGCAGGTCACTGGGCTTATTCACCATTACTTTCTGGTGTATTCCACTGTTCCCTCTGCATAATCCAGACTCATTCATTTCCCCAATAAAAGCATAACCATTGGTGAAATGCATAGTCATTTAGATTCCTTTCATCTATATCCAAAGCAATTTTTTAAAAAGAGGTGGGGTCTTGCTATGTTGTCCAGGCTGGTGTGCAGTAACTCTTCGCAGGCACGACCATGGCACATTATAGCCTCAAAATCCTGGACTCAAGGGATCCCCCTGCTGCAGCCCCCCAGTAGCTGGGACTACAGGAGTGCAACACAGTGCCCGGCTTATCTCCAAAGCCTTTGGGTGCACTTAGGTGGCTCCTCTGCATTTAACATAAAATTTATAAACCCCTTAGAGATTTTTTTCCTTAACATCTATGGGAAAATATCACTGATACGAAATCCACTACTTTCAAGATTATGCGACCGTGGTGAGCAGAATTCTGAAATGGATCCTCTGACCTTCAGACTCTGGCGTTAGCCTCATGACCATGTCACATCATACGACAAGAGAAGACTATAGGTGGGCCGGATCCAGTGGGATGAGCCCTTGGGAATCAGAAAGGTTTCTCTGGCTATTTGGTTGGTGGCAGAAAGAAAAGTCAGTGAGATTAGGATGTGATACGTCATTTCTCGCTTTGAAGATAGAAAGGTCACGAGTAGAAAGGTGAGTGATATCCAGATCTGTGGCCTCAGCTGTCACCCAGCAAGACAACAGGGACCTCAGTCCTGCAGTCTGCAGGGAGCTGCATCATGCCAAGAACCTGAACAAGCCTTGTTTCTTGCGAGGCCCTTCGGAGAAGCCCAGCCTGGCCACACCCTGACCTCGGCCTTGGGAAAGCCTAAGCTGAGGGGCCAGCGGATCTCACCTGGGTGTGGGATCTTCAGAGCTGCGAACTAACAAATGGGTATGATTTTAGCCACTAAGTTCATGGTAATCTGTTATATAACGATAAACAACTAATACTGATACTATAAAGTCCCAGGGAGACTGATGTGACATCTGGCCCGTGAACGTACTAAACATGCGCATCGAGATGTGAAGCCTCGGTGAGGAAGGGAGGATGTACTAGATTTGAAAGTGAAATTTAAAAAACACTGAATATACACTGTTTTAAAGAACATAATAAGACTGAACAGACTAATTTATTACACTAGTTATTCCCATATAAAAACAATTGACTGAATATGTTTGGCTTTATTGATTTATGAATTCAAGCAACTCATCAAATTGGTAGCCAATAAATTACACCAAGCTTCTCGTTAAATGATAACTTTGCAATATTTTCATATTGACTGCTTTGCAGGGTGGCGGTGTTTTCAGATATGTTTAATTTAGTCCTCTAAATAATATTTTATCATTTTATAAACATGGAAATGGAAATTTACTGGAGCTGACGTTGCTCAGATCACAGCTAATAATAGACGAACCTCACTTGCAAGCCCATTGTTCTGACCACGGGTGTGAGTGTCTGTGACTCAGTAGTCTTTAGACTTTTCACCGGTACCCCAATCCTCATTCTTCTGGGACAGTGCACCCTCCCGCTGAGGGAGACCAGGGAACTTTTCCCCAAAATATGGCACCTGGTACGCTGATTGTTTTCAATTAAAGGGCTTAGAAAACCAGCAGACACTGGAAGAAGCTTTTCTCTAACATGCCTTTATCTGCCTAAAGTCTAGACCTGCCAAAGAAGTAAACAATTACAACTGGTCCTTTCCCTGACTTTTCATTAATTTAACTCATTGTAGGAAGGGAGACTGAAGTCAGTCAACACACTTATCCAGACTTTAGTCACAAACCACTGTCTGCTGTGTGGGCTCAACGGACTTTGTTCCAGGCCATTGTATGTTCTCCAAGTCCATTGAATTCTCCTAAAAATCATTTTCTATCCCCGTAATATCATTCACATTTCCCCATCTCCCGTTCTCCCCCAAAAAGGGTATATTAGCATCTGTACCTCACTGAGGTATTGAGTAATCCTCCTGTGATTTGCCCCTGCTTTGCACGTTAAAATAAAACTTTGTATGCCTTTTCTCCTATTAATTTGCCTTTGCTCAGCTGATTTTCAGCAAGCCTTGGAGGGTTAAGGGTAAGGTTTCCCTTGGCCCCTACACCAAGGCACAGTTTGGCACAGCCATGAAACATTCAGGGAAGCCACACAGGCGGCTTCAGCATGCGTGCTTCAAGGGGCGCATGAGTCGCCACAACTGTGACATTGTGGAATACATACTGTTTTCTGACATACAGTTCCTAAAGTCTTTGGACTCTCCCTGGAGATAAGAATGGCTTTTGTATGCTGATGAGTTGACTAGTGGTTGCTTCGGTGGGGGTGAGGCCTGGAAAGCCTCACAAGGGGGCTGGTTGCCAGGGGAACCAACCCGTGATTAGAGGGCTGGAAGATTCAGTCCTACGTGTCTCCCCTGCACACGGCACACTGCTAGGGAGGAGCAGGGCTGAAGGTTAAGCTGATAAAGCACGGCCAAAGGTTTAATCAGTCATGCCTACGGAGTGCTCCATAACAACCCCAAAGGATTGCGTTCTGAGAGCTTCCAGGCGGGTAAACACATGAAGGGTCCTGGAGGGTGGCCTGGCAGAAAGGGCATGGAAGCTCTGCGCCCCTTCTGTGCCTTGCCCTGTGACGCTCCCCATCCGACTGCACACACGTGTCCTCTCTAACACCCTGTATAATAAATGAGTAACTGTACCTTAATCAGTGTCTTCCCGGAGTTCCGAGAGCAGCTTTAGCAAATTTATTGAACCCAAGGAGGGGGTCGTGGGAACCCCAGTTTACAGCTAGTCGGTCAGAGGCCCAGGTCGTAAGCTGTGCCTACCACTGGCATCCTGTGGATGGGGCAGGCTGGTGGCACTGGCCCCCAGTCTGTCAGATCTGACGCTGCCCCAGGGTCCAGTTGAATCAGAGGACCCCGGATGCAGCGTCTGCTGGAGAACCGACTGGCTGTGGCCGGGGAGAGATCCCCACACATTTTGGTGGCCAGAGCTGCTGTGCTGTATGACTGTGCAAGAGAATTCCCCTATCTCTTTCATAACCATGAAAATAAGTCGTTCCAAATCGAAGCTGTTGGAACTTTACATTATTCTGAGCCACGAAGGAATGTGATGATGGGGCCTGAGCCACGTGACAGGCAGCCGTAACCTTCGTTTCTCTGATTATAGATCAGTCTTCTTCCTTACTAACAATGGTTCTTAAAACGTTTTAAAGAGTAAAGGGCATCCCTCTGCATTGTTGGTCTTCACTACAGAGTGACTTCCCTCTTTCCTTTACACAAACACGTCATGACTATCACATCGCCTAAGATGAAATGTGAAACACACTCTTTGAAATTGGAAAGGAAATTCAAACAAGCTGTGATTAATTAAATTGTTGTAACTCATAACGTTTTCTATATGACACTGAGTCTTGCGTAGAAAATGTTATAATCCTATTACATTTCTTTCTTTTCTGCCTATATAAGCCAGACATTAACTTTTCACTTTGGAGCACGGACCCCCATTTCTCTGGAGTCTGTGTTTCCAGGTGACTATTCCCACCTTTTCGCTTGAATAAATTCCTTAAAACTGGGTTCTGAGTCTTTCAATTATTTCATTTCGAGTTGACATAACTTCCCCTTTCTCACGGCTCCCGCACCAACGAAGAGGTGAAGCTCCGTGGAGACAGGACAGAAAGTCCCCACAAGCCAGTTCCCACAGTCTAATAATAAACCCACAGCACACTCTCGGAAGAATCTCAGCTGATTGTGGCCACGAAGACTCTGGGTTCTGTTTGTGCTCCAGCCTGCCTTGCATGGTACGAACTGCAATTTCAGCCAAGCCCAGGGATCACAGCTCCCCGAGCTCCAAGACGCAGCCTACCTTGGAACTTCTTCAACAGTTCCCTCAACCCGGGGATGCGACATACTGTCTTCAGCTCCAGAGGGATGGTCTCTGGTTCTGGCCGTGTGACAGCCTTACTTCTGAGGTGGACACAGAACCATCAGTTGTCAGTGGGTTATCTACCACCTCCTCTACCTCTCCCAGTCCCTTCACTGATTCAGAAAGGAAACATACCTGTTCAAGGCGCCTCTCACACCCTGAAAGTGAAAGAGAAACACAAACAGGTGAGAGTTAGACCTTCCAATCGATTTTGACAGTTAGACCAGGGGACACCATGAACATGTCTTTAGGAATTATTGGAAGCAATTAATGATTAAACTATAGGGGATGATGAATCTCTTTTCATTAAAGACAAAAACAGGCGGTCATTTAATTTTTCAAGAATCTGAAATAATAGAATCAGTAATAATTAGAAAAGAATTAGACTACACAAAGTTTAGGTTAATTCCTATAATTAATTCAATTTTAATTACTTTTTGAATTGGTAATTCTGGCACTTGGATTATTTTAACAGAGCTACATTCTGCACCTAATACAGATGGAATTTGGATAAAAATAAGTCCTAAATATTTGCACAGTATATGTAAGGAATAATGTTAGGTATAGACATAAAATATTTTCCTCAATGTCATTATAAGAGAACTCCAGATCGCTAATTCTTTGAACCAACACACTAGAGCTACTCATATGAGTAGGTTACCTAAGTAGATAAAAAAGGAAGTCATTAATAGCTAGCAACATCTTACCTCAAAGTAGATTATTAAATAAATATACATTTAATAATAAATAAATATACCTAGGAAACTTTTCCCCTCTTCTCCTAAAAAATAGTCACCAGTCTAATAAATTTTGACACGGCATAAAAGTGTGGAAATAATTCTCCTTACCCTGTATGGAAATGACAGGCCTTGGTCTTGGCCACTGGGGGTAAAGTGTAGCTTACTGGTGCTGGGGAGGAAAGGGCAATGGTGGCATAAAAATAAATATATTACTTAAGAATATATTCTCCCCAAGATTGGATTAAAAATTATTTTAACATTTATCTGGTGCTAAGAAATGCTAAATATAAATAAGTTATGTGAAATACGGTGAGGTAAGGCAATAACTATTATTACTGAAAACGTGAAAGTTCTTGTGTTCATTTGCTGTCTGCTACTTAGAAATTAATTCCTTTCCAACCCCCGGTTTGCTTGCAAGGAAATGAGCATAGCAATGATGCTAACAATGCCAATAATGGAATAAAAACAAATTTTACTTATCTATAGATATTTTGAAGGTAAAATGAGACCAATTAAATTTAAATGCTTTGTAAATTCATTCATTTAATGATGCCCACTGTGTAGCCGGCACTGTTTAGTCACTGTATCCGCCAATATCATACGGACAGTCAACAGGATTATTTACACTGGTGGCACGTTCAGCGTCTAGACTGAGTCAGACAAGGCAGATCAGTGGGTCGGCAGTGAACACGAGTAACGCAGCTCAGACGTCCCTGTACAAGGTGTGGGGATGGGACAGAAAGAAGTGTGCCCGGGTGAACTCCTGTTGCAGCTGGTTCTGCCGTGACAACACGCACCCATCAGCAAATACGCCTGTCCCTCTTCACCTGGGATAGCAAGTCTTCACGGAGGACTGAAAACAAGCATTTCCTTTCGCCCGTTACTTGTCTGTCTGCTCTTTAATCCCCGACAGCCTGGGAGCAAGCCGCGCGGGAGCCCACGCAATCTCTCCCCACCAGACCCGCAGTGGACGTGCAGCACGGGCCAGGCAGTGTTTGCCCTACGGCTTGATGTAAGAGTGTCACGCTGGGCAATTTCAAACCGTATCCGTACCTCTGGCTACTTACGCTGAAGTGGGTTACCACGTCTTTCCGTACTGGCTGTCACTGAAAATGGCAATGTCACCATTGACAGACCATGAGGTTTTAAGAAGCACTTCTCAGCCAGCCCAGTGTAGCTTGCCCTTTTCTTAGCTGCTTAAGTGTCCATAAATCACTAAATAAATTTTAATTTTTAAATCTTTCCTGTCTTTAGTGCAAATTATGCAATTCTCTAGAATCCCTTATGATTCCGACGCTAGGATTTAGGATTAAGATGCCTTCCCAGTAAATTCTAGGATGTCGTTTTCCTAAAGAACACAAAGGTCTAGGTGTCTGTCTCTGAAAGCCACCGTCCTTGTCTCTCTCCCCTCAGTCTCATATCCGCCTGTCCTTCTGCCAACCGGCCTCACCTCCAGCAGACCCAGGGCCGGGCGCCGGCACCTGTCCTCCAGCTCCTCCGCCAGCTCCCTCAGGGCCTTGCTGTGCTGGCCCAGCCGGCTCTTGCTCTCCCGCAGCCTCTGCAGGGTGGCTCGCTCCTCCTCCGCCAGCTGCCTCAGCTGCAGCTGCTCCTCCAGGGCCAGAAAGCCGCGGTGCTTCTCAAACTCCAACCTGAAGCGCTGCCTCTGCATGTCTACCGTCTCCTGGAGGGACACAGGCGATCACGTCATTGGCACTTGGGGCACAGTGTCTGGGCCTCCTGCCTTCTCCTACGGGGCGGTGGAGGTGGAGAAGGCAATGTCTGGAGCCCCCCGGCTCCATAACTCCGTGGACTGATTGGCCATGTTGTAAGAACACACAGAAAACACAGTCCACCCGTATGAGAAGGAGCCTTGCAGAGCTGTCAAACCTAGACTTTGAGAAAGACTGTCGGGTTTGGGTTCCCCTTTTGCCACAGGCTTGGGAGGAAGGCACTTTTATATTCAGTTTCAGTACCACGTATAAAATGTGGGGAAAAGAAGAGCATGTGGATTACAACTATTAACAAATATCTATTAAACTGCTGAGAACAGTCACTAGCATGGAGGAGTCCAACAATGGAAGGTACCATTTACTATTAGATTACTCACTAGAAACACTAGAAACAATTAAATTATGAAGAGATTAGAGAGATCTATATTTGTAAATATGAATAAAAAGGGGCGTAGAGATTGGAGAATACGAAGGCGCTTTCACAACATGGTCATCGTGAACCCGCCGTAAGCCTGATGTTCCCTAGAAAGCCAACAAAGAGCTAAGTCATCCTCAGGCCGCTCAATCCTGACTTGTGTCCAAATCTCACGTTTACAATCTTTGAACAGCCTAACGAATATGCTTCGCACAGGCTCATCATATCCACATTTTATTCTCTTGAGCATGTAGGACACAGACTTTAAACTGAGTACGAGAGGCAAAGCATCCTCCCAAAATACCTACACCTTGGATTCTCTGCCCTGTTTTTAAACAGTGTAACTTCTTGGTTTGACTAAAAGGCAAAACTCTAATGATCCCATAAGACTCAACTCCTTCCAATTTCCATCTCTACCTCCTTCTATCACTTTCTATATCACTAGATTCTCCCAATCCCAGCTTCTTTCTAATATCAGCCAGCTCTGCATTTCGTATTTTGATTTCCAAAAGGTCTAACTCATGGAAGTCTGAGCAGCTCTCCCCCATGTTGGAGCCGTGCTGTTGAGGAGCGCGCAAACCACTCAGCCCGTGGGAGAGCGCAGCGACATTCGTGGTACGAGACGGTGCGCTGGGAGGCGGTTTGCTTACAGTTCATCTTCCCTCACACCACCCTCCTGAGCACTACAGTTATATCCACAGGTGTACAAAAAAGATTTTTTTTTTTTTGCAGAATTCACAGTTCATTTTTATCAAACTCGTGCTTGCTGCATTTGGCGCACATGGATACATTCTTGATGGTAAATATCTCTGGCTTAGAACAGGGATCTTAGTATCCCCTCCACTTGAGAATAATCAGCACAGGGTTTAAAAATGCAAGAATGCAGATCTTGGTTATGGGGATTCTGATTTCATGAATGTCTGATCAGGCCAGGACTAAAAACAATACACTTGGATTATTAGCTTGAAACAACAAAATTATCAATCAATATTTCACTTTACCTATAATATACAGAGTGATAGGAAAGGATTGGACTTAGCCCAGAAAAAGTGTAGCAAAAATGGTCTTTATGGAGATATCTGTCTGAGAATAGAGTAAAAGACTAAATTTTCAAGGAAAGGAAAGAATTACAAAAATACAGAGCTTGATCAGAGAAGAAGGGTTATTTGGAGAAGGAGAGAGAACAGGAACATTTTATCAAATATGTCCTATATGTCATATTAAATAATACACTGTATAAATATAGAACTATACACATAGTTTCTATACACAGTGAAACTATATCTGGATCTTAACGCAATTGACATTTTGACCAGTTCATTGTTTCTTGTGAGGTGTGGGGACTGTCCTGTGCATCGCAGGGTGTTTGGTAGCATACCTGGCCTTCCAGATATCTGCAGTGTCACACTACACCCCCCAGCCACCACCAGTTGTGACAATAAAAAAATATTTCCAGGCCAGGTGACCATGACTGTAACCCTAACCCTTTGAGAAGCCAAGGCAGGAGAGTATTGCTTGAGGCTGGGAGTTCAATATCAGCCTGTGCGACAAAGTGACACCCATCTCTACAAAAAGTGAAAAAAAATAGCTGGTGTGGTGGTGCCTGCCTGTTGTACCAACTACTCAGGAGGATCACTTGAGCCCAGGAGTTCGAGGCCGCAATGAGCTATGATTGCACCACTGCACTCCAGCTTGGGCAACAGAGTGAGGCACTGGCTCAAAAAATAAACAAAAAAAAATTCCAGATATGCAAAATGTCTCTTGGAGAAGGGGGACAAAATCACCACAGGTGAGAAATAAAAGAGCTGGTGAGGTGCAGAGAAAAGAGAATATGTGTATGGATGACCAAAAGAGGCTGGAGGTTCGGATCATTTTCCTGTATATAAGATGATCATTATTAGCTACAAATCATCTGGTATAAAGTTGTGAAATATTTATTATTTGATTTGTCTACCAAATATTTTTTAAACTAGTAGTGATAGTACAAGACTCTATTCTGGGTGATAGGGACACTGCAGTGGGTTTGACAGTATGATCACGCTAGTAAAGCTATTTATTTATAATTTGCACTGGGTGGTGTCAACAGAGGTAAAAAGGACAAAAACAAACCATATAATGTGAGGGGATGGGCTGACCCAGGATGGCACTGAGCTGTGTTTCCTGAGCAACTGTGTAGACGCAGCCAAAGCACTGGAGCATGGAGGATGTGGAAGAATGACTTAATGACCCAAATCTGCACCTTCAGACAGGCAGACTTCTCACGCCCCGATATTCTCGTACCTTCCAAATGACAGTCTGCTTCCTCACACTGGCCTCCCGAGTCAAAGCCTCTTCTAGTTCTTTTTTCACAAGTTCCAGAGCCATCTGGAGCTTTACCTGTTTGGGAAGATGTGCCAAAACTGTTACAGATACCCTCTTCAGTACTGAATGTCACCCAGATGGGCGAGGAAATAAGATAAACTAAAACATTCCTTATTTGACCTCAATAACATAAATGTGTATTAATACTAGATACAACCCATAGGTTTATCTAAAATTGCTCATTCCGTGATTACTTATAATATTATAAGTGTAATTAACCAAGATGTTAAAAATAGAGGGGTGAGAAAAAATATATTAACTGGATATATTAATAATTAAAATAAGGTGTTCCAGAATATTTAATGAGAAGAGATACAATGATAATGTCAAATAAACAAGTATATCTTATAAAACTTAACACCAATTTTAGAAAAAAATGTACTTGTAATAAATATATAAAACCAGGTAGAGTTACATGAAAATGTTATTAGAAGAAATGTTGTCTATCAGTGCTAGGTTGAAGAGTGATGCTATTTCTTGGATCTCTCTGTATTTTGACTACTCAAAATTATTTATTACTTATGATAAGAAAGGGAATTATAATTGGTAGTATTAGTAGTCTATTACTGGGCCAGAAGAAACCTTGTAGGTCAACATATTTTAAATGGGAAAAAAGTAAAGTAAATTTTAAGTCCTACAATGAGTAAAAATACAATATAACAAAAACTAAATCTCCCTTCAACAATAGGATCCTTGCTAGAGGTAAGTATGGGTATTTCATTTGTAGAAAATACGCACAAGGATACACACATAAATAGGCTTTTAATATAAAAAAAAATCTATTCCCAAATTTATTCCTAGCTACACATCAATCGTTTTTAAAATAATGGTATAATGCTGTGCATAAAATAGCAATAGAATTCATTATGGCATTTGACAAGCTGGGGAAACTGACACTTGTTGTGGTGTTTACAAAGAACAGAGCACTTTGACAGTGCTCCCTCAGACCAAAGAAACTGTGACCAAAAGCAAGGAGATGAAAAAAAAGTGTGCATGTTTGGTGACAACGGTAATTTGGCTAATTTTGCTGGATCTCATGAGTGGTTAGGACAGGAGCTGTCGATACATAACTTAAGGCCCTAGAAAGTCTTGACTGACAGGCTCAGGAGTTGAGATGATATTAATTTGGTATTTAATTGAAGAACTGCTGAAAATATAGAGAATGTCTTTAGAAATACTACACTAGCCATGGTCTATATGGTACTTTCTGGGTTAAAAAAGGGGGTGAGGCAAGAACATACTGTAAAAGTCCAACTAGAAAGTACAGAGTACCTGAATTACCTGAATTTTGTAGATGACAACCAAAATCAAGAAGAGAAACCAAGAGAGAGATTTCCAGATAGGCCCAGAGAGAAATTGAGGGGAAATTATCCCAAATCTCAACTTAAAACAGTCAAACTAAATAAGTAAATAATTTTAAGAAAGGTAGCATTTGCTCTATATCACAGTGTGATAATTCTTTTGTTAAATATGCCAGTAGATTAAACATGACTTTGACATCCTTTTTGCTAGTAACTGTTCTAGATGTTGGAAATTTAAATGTGTTCAGAACATGCAAGAACTTGTGAAGAGAACCGGCAGGAAGAATTCTACACACAGAGTTCCACAGTTGCCACTTTGGGGGCCAAATACCCCAGGACACCTCTTTGCTGAGGACAGTCAAATCAGAGGTTCCCAAATATTTGCTGAATAGACAGCGGACTGTGTGCTGCTCCATTCCTGCCTCAGGGGACACATGCCTGTAGACAGCTTCAAAGGCCATCAGAACGCAGGCCCCACTGGTGCTACTCTTAACAAATGCCCAAACCTGAGGGCTGTTTTGGTGACAATATTAATTAACACAGAGACAAACACTAAGCAAAAGGAAAGCATTGTACAAATGAGAATTATTACATAACGTTTACAACAAAGATGTGCAGTTGTCACCAAGAATGAAGTGAGCCACAGGGCCCTCCCCAGCAGGGCTCCAGCTGTGAGAACCAGATAGTCAGTATCAGGAAAAACAAGAACAGCAGGAGTTAAAGGACCAGGAAAGGCTTCAGGGGAGAGGGGGACAGCCTAAAATAATGAGTGGTTTGGGCTTCAGAGCAGGGGCCCAAAGGAGGTTACCAGAGCAGAGGCAAAGAGACCCCGATGCCAGTGTGAGCTGTGAGGGAGGGGTGGGGACGGCGGGGGGCAAGGGAAGACAGGAGCCATTCAGGAGACCCGGTGGGCTCTGGGCAGGTCACTTAACATCTCTAGCGCGGCTTGCTCCTCTGTCAGGGCAGCATTTCCAGACCCGGAACCCGGCCTCTCCAGGTGCGCCCGGCCACAGGAGCGCGCGCGCCTGGCTCTCACCTGGTGGCACCTGGCGGCCTCCTGCAGCGGCGCCGTGCGGTGGCTCCTGTGCTCCGGGGAGCTGTCGCAGACCCAGCACAGCGCCGCCTGGTCCTCTTCGCAGAAGCGGCTCAGGTCCTCGCCGTGCCGCGCGCACCGGCGCGCCCCCGCGGGCCCCGCGCCCAGCCCCAGCCGCCGCACGCTGTCCACCAGGCTGCCCAGCTGCCGGTTGGGCCGGAACCCCGCGGGCCGGAAGGGCGCCCGGCACTGCGGACACGCGTGGACGCCGCCCTGCGCGCCGTCCGCCCTGGCGCACAGCTCCGAGACGCAGCCGCGGCAGAAGCTGTGGCCGCAGTCGACGCTGACCGGGTCCTGCAGGAAGTCCAGGCACACGGGGCACCGGGCCTCCTCGCGCAGCCGCTGCCCGGGCGCCCCCGCGGCCATGGCCGCCCGGCCTCGCTTGGCCCCGCGGACGGCGGCGCTGTCGCCGCGGCCTCCGGGAAGCAGGTGCCTGCGGGGTGACCGCGGCGGGGCTTCAGGAGTTCGAAGCAGCCACGCCCTGCGCAAAGTCACGACGCAGGCACTGGACTGGGGACGAAATCCACACCAGCAACCTCACCTCGCAGGAAACGCATTTCTACCCGCGCCCTCGCTGCGCCTCAAAGGGGCCTCCGGTCTCCCCGTGGCTCTGCGGACTTCCTGAGCTCCTTCCTCCCGTTATTTACTGAACTACCCCACGATCTTCTCATGGCATAATCATTATTTTTAAAATTCCTTTTTTCCAAACTATTTTCTCTATCGTACACGAATTCGCTGGCAATAAAGAAATGAGACCCCGCCTGTGGGGAGACGGCCGCGCAGGTGTGTGTATCCTAGTGACAGGTGCGCAGCCCAGCGTCAATTCCAAATATTTAAATAAATATCCGCCCTCTTCAGCGAGAGCCCTGTAACAAATAAGCGTGTGTTATTACCGTGGCAAAGCGTGTCTCGGAGGTGACAAAGCTGTAGAGGAAGGTGCTCATTAGAAGGAATAATCCAAGCTTAGCCTATCAGCGCTGCGCTGCGGGCGGGGGAGGCTGAGATGGCAGCCAGGTGATTGCACAGAGGGGACGTCAGTTCCCCGGAGGAGGCTGAATCAGGATGACTACGGGGAGGTCATTAAGGTCATCCACACAGTAGAGGAGTCCCCGGCAGTGCCTGTCACCTGAGCCAAATCATTTCAGTGTGGGTGGCTTTCAGTATGGGGCGTGCCTGTGGGAAATCATTCAGTCCGTTCTCCAGCACACATTCCTGTCTGTCGGTAGCCGCGGCGTCCCTGGCACTGCGCTGGGTCCGGGAAGCAGGAGGGTGAGGAAAGAGATGCTGCCCCATTTCACAAGGAGTCTTAAGACCAGCTGGGAGAGGGGTCATGGGATCATGCAAACTAATAATTACAAGCTAGTGACTGGAGAAAGGTCACTGACCAGTCCTTCAGGGATGTAACAGAGGACTGTGACCTAGTCTGCAGGGTCAAGGTCAGACTTCTGGGAGTCTTGGAGCTAACATCTGCTGGGTGAGCCAAACTGGCTGGCAGGAAGCGGGGTCTGCAAGGCTGTGCACCCAGAGGGTGCAGAGGGCACAGAATGAATGTCAGCGGTGTTAGGTTTGCCCCAGGTGGGAACCCGAAAAGTATGTATAGGACAGAATGTGGTTAATGCAAAATTTAGGCTTGTAAAACAACAGCCGCAGGGGTCTGGGGAGTCCCGGACTTTGTAGATCTAACAGACAGCTGCAGCCAGCATTCCTTCCCCCTCCCTCACTGACAGAGACAAAGTTTATCCCTCCCTAGCTCTCCTGATAAGGACAATGCCAGAGCAGAAGGATGGATGTGACTGGGGCAGGGGTCTCAAAGTTGGTTATTTGCAAAAGAATTAATTACAAGCAGCTGTTCTGGCCCACTTACTCACTCCCCCTGGAAAAACCCTCTATAAAACCAAGGCTCTCCCGTTTTCTCTGGTGGACGCTTTTTCACCTCCACCCATCTGCACCCAGATACTCAAAATAAACAGCATTTTGCTACACGTGAGGCTTTCGTGTCTCTCTGGGCTCCGACCTAACAAGCATGAGGAGCAGGACACACCCAGATGACATGCAGAAGGCCAGACAGGCTGGCCTTCTGGGCTGGACTAGCCGCAGCAGATAAGGTTGCATTTTGAGGCGGGGCCAGATGACTGAGGTTGTTGTGGCTCCTGGGAGGTTTGTGGGTCTTTATTATAAGGACAGAGTCTCAGCCTGGAGCTTTGGTGGTGGCCAGAGTCTAGAGGACTTAGAGGCCTTCTGCCTAAAGGTGAAGTGGATAATTATGATAGATAGATTCTTTGAGAACAAACAATCTGTAGGAGCAAAACATTAAAGATGTGGCATTAGGAAAAAAAAAAAGAAGAAAAGCAAGAGCAGAGGGCTTAGCAATAGAAAAACAGACCCTGGCTTCAGGCTAAAGACTGTGCCACTTGCTAAGAGCCTCGAGACAAGCTGTGCCGCCTTTGCATGCTGCGTATTATCTCACCTGCAATGAGGACGGAGTCAGTGTCACTCCTACAAGGCTGTTCAGAGGACTAAATGAGCTGGCAGGTATTTCCTGCCTAGTATAGGTTCTGGCATATAGCAGATGTATTTAACTGGAAAAAAAAAGGAGATGGCAAAATGAATGAGAGAAGGGCAGTGAGTCAGAATGTGAGCTACGGTAGCGCGGGGAAGTGTTTTTCTCTCTTGTTCGCTGCTGCATTAACAGAACCTCGAATGAGGACAGGCGCACACGCACACACAGTAAACACTAGTGGCGTGAATGAGTGGGCAAGTGAATGAACAGAATCAGTACAGTTTGTCACAGAAGCTAACGGAGGAGAGAATTTCAAGGTGATCATACTATGTCAAATGTGAGATCCATAGTTTTCTTCATTTTAGATACATGATCTTGCTTTAGGTCTCCATAGCTCTGGCGAATGCTAGAACATTTTACAGCATTTATCTTGGGACACAGTAAAGCAATATGTTTGCTCACATGTGTGGACAAATTGATAACCAGGGCCACGTGAATTCTGACTTCCAAGTGCCTAGGAGGATAAGGAAAGGTCGCTGGCTTCTGGTGTGGGGCCGCAGTGGTTTTCAGGAGGGCGTAGTGGAGTGAGTGAGTGAGCTCACTTCTTCCCTCGCTGGTTCTAGAGCTGCTCAGATTAAGCTTTTTTGTCTCTCGTGCTGGTAGACTAGGGATGAGGTCTGTACATTCTTCTTAGAAACCCAAATTCCCTAACAGCACATCCATGCAGGTAAGTAGAGGGCAGGATTATGACCAGATGTCACTGTACCAGATTTACAAATCCTGCGTGCACTGCCTCCCTGGGCATTCTCTTGTCTCACAGGGGTGATCTAACTTAGATCTGTATTTTCTCATGATCTTTCTTTTAGGGCTGAATAAAGTATCTTTTTATTTATGCTGATACAACAACATCTGATACACCCCCCTCCTTAATTCTTAGCCAAAGTCCACCCTCTGGCTCTTCCACAGGTTGCAGAATTCCAGATCTTCTAGCTAACCACCCTCCTCCCCACCAGCCTCCTTCTCTAATATTCCTCTCCATTTAGGTCATGCCTTCACTGACACCCTGGTAGTGCATTGAAACATGGAAGCTGCCATCATCTGACCGTTCCTCCCTGCTCTTGTTCATCACTCCTTTTGCATTGTGGCTTTGAGCTCCTAAAACCATTTCTTCAGGACAGCAATATATTTTCTTCTGTACTTGAACCCTTTTCACAGAGGTTCTCAGCTCTCTGTGGCCACACACTTTGCCTCGGCTTTGTGGATTCACAATCTCCCAGCCCCCAAACCCGAAACTCAGCCCAGTTCGCAACAGAAAAAAAAAGTCAGTCCAAACCTCAGGAGCAACAGCCCCTGACTCAGCAGTTTCCTCCCTGCTTGTGGTTTTTCAAAAAAACTGTTTTCATTTAAGCAATTGCACCCTGTGTTTTTTCTCCCATTTTTAAAATTGTGATCAAATACACATAACAAAAAAGTTACCATCTTAACCGTTTTTAAGTACAATCCAGTGGTATTAAGCACAGGCATAGTGTTGTGCAACCATCTCCAGAACCCCTTGCGTCTAGCAGAACCGAAACTCTGTGCACATTAAAGGTTAACTCCCCACTTTCTCCTCCCTGCAGGCCCTGGCACCCACCACTCTACTTTTTGTGCTGTGGTGTTGACCACTCCAGGTGCCTCACGTAAGCGGGATCACACAGCGTTTGTCTTTCTATAACTGACATTGGAATTAGTGCCATGCCCTCAAGGCTGATCCATGTTGCAGCATGTTCTAGAACTTCCTCCTGCTCTAAGACTGAATGCAGTTTCACTGTGTGTATACACCACACTCTGCTCATCCATTCCTGATGGACGCTCGGCTGCTGCCACATTTTGACTGTTGGGAGTGAAGTTGCTATGAACATGGTCATAAATATCTGTTCCAGACCCCGCTTCTGTTCCTCTGGTACCTATGCAGGAGTGGAATTGCTGGACCACAAGGTAATTCCACTTTTAATTTCTTGAGGAATGTCCACACTATTTTTCCCACTTGCTGTACTGTTTTGTATTCCCACCAGCAGCGCACAGGATTCCAATTTCTCCACGTCCTCAGCAGCACTGGTTATTTTCTGTTCTTTCTATAGGAGCCATCCTGCTATTGATCGTGTGAGGGTGTACGCCCTGCAGTTTTATTTTTTCTTTCTTCTTCAGAGACGACATTGAAGTAAGGTGGGGCTAAAGGTATCTGATGCTTCCCGTGGGCACGGCCTCAGTTTTCCCTGCCTGGGGAAGGTGCGCTGGGATCTAGTGCGGCTCTGTGCTTCCAGGGAAGGGATTCCCAGAGCAGGTGGGAAGCAGAGACGGCTCCTGCTGACCAACGCTGGTGAGAGTGGACCAAGAGGCCCACAGGAAATTAGCACAGAGAAATGAATTCTGGCCCTGGCCTGCTTTCTATGCACAGGGACCCAAGTAGCACACATGCATTTTAACAAAGGTATATTTATGCAACAATATTATATTTAAAGAGTCATTTACTTTTTTTGCATAATTTGACTGATTCAGGGAGAAGAATGTTTCCTGTTAATGTTTTTATTCCCAAGTCCCTTCACTCTAGGCCTGCGCAGAGTAAGGGCCCAGTATGGATTCTGTGATAAATAGACAGTACGAGGTCCCATGCGAGATTTACGCTCTCTGGAGGAAGGGGCATAAGCCCCATCTGTATCTCGGACATGAGAAATTTGAGACCTGGGTGAACATCATGGACGGATCCTGTCTGTCGTCCAGGTCGGGTGCTGGATGCCGCTCCTGCTGCGCTCTGCAGGCTGGTCGCAGGCGTCTGTTCACTTGTGCAGTGGGCAGGTTCAGGAGCCAGATGCCAGGGATGGGCCAC